GGTTTTTTGCCAGTGCTACAAAAGCCCTGGTCTGAAAGCTAAAACTAAAGAAAACTTCCTTCCGTACCCTCGAGGAGACCGCCCTGGATCCCCCTATAAGCATGGCTATGCAGCTAGAATGTTTAAATGCTTTGACCATCGTTGCATCACCTAGTGGTCACTTTGTTAGTGATAACATTCGTTTTTGTTCTCTGTTTAATTGCCAGCTTAGCAATTCTCGCAGCTGAAACATTTTGCAAGGTTTTAACCGATTTGAAATGTTTTTTTTTTTCACCCACGACATCCCGTCAGCTACCTGACCGACTATGATTTTTGGGGATGTATTTTATAAAGAAATGAGTTTTTGTCATTGACTGATTTTAGAGTGTTTGATCTCGTATTTTTAATTTTTGTCCAGTCCGCATTTTTTAAATGAATGATTGGTAATAGGCAATTTTTCATTTCACTCCATAAAAAAACGTGCAATAATCATGCATGCTGGAGGTTAAGATTTAATGCGGCCGCATGATGCAACACTGCCGTCCCAGCCGACGCCGTTTTTTCCTACATGCAGGAAAGGTCATAACACTGCCAGCTGAATGCACACGTTAAACTTTAAAGCAACAACCATTCGTACTGTTATCGATCTGACTGTTCCAAGTCTAGCTCAAAAACGCATAATCGCATTGGCAAATCTGGTTCGTTATTAACTGAAGACAATTTTGCACCTCTTTACTAACGATTTTTTACAATTCTGAGCATCATATTTGTTTCAGAGCATTAGCGGCGTCCACGTTGAAGGTCAAAGAATGCGCAGATGCATGCGCGCTGAAAGATAGACAATTGCAGCAACTCCAGAATCTGTGTCGCACTTTGAAATCTCAAATTCCCAGCAGTCAGTAATGTATAAAATACTCATAATACTTTCAAACTATTATTCGTGTGGCTTTCATTGCTATCCTGTCATTGTTATCCAGCTCAGAAATTCACTATTTTTGTGGTCAAAGACGGGAAAGTTCATGCTTAAGCTAAAAAAATTGATAGCCTTCATCTTTGATGTAAGAAACAATTAGCAGTCATGTTCCTGGAAGAACGGAACTTTCAGTGTTGTCAACCATATAGCATGCTCGTCGGTATTGAGCCGAGAAAAGCCTTCTCACTGGACTGGGGTTCGGATTTTGCCCTCAGAATTAGTAGATTTAGCCCAATTTTTATCATAGGATTACGAATTTCTCAGATTCTGCAACTGAGCTATGTTGCAAAACAAACTGACGACTCTTTTCGACTGCAAATTGATAAGTGGCATATGCCAGGCAGTCGAATCCGTCATCAGCTTGCTTGTAAGCAACCCTCAAAAGAGAGGACCATCGGCAGTATTGCAAGCGAGTGGTTGCTTTTGGCATTTACTATTACTCGGTCCACTTCGCGAGTGCCTCCATCACTCACTGAGAGCGAAATACGGGAGGAATTTTGACTTTGACATTGTATTTTAGACTATCGTTTCCGGTTGCACAATTCCTAAGCGAATTTTAGGTGCAATTGTTTTGCCTTTCATCCTCATTGCTTCTTGTTAAGCCGCTGTAATGATTTTC